CACTCTGTTATAGTTGGATAGAGACACTTGTAGCCCCAGGAACCTATCCGAGGAGTTAGCTGGTACCCGCCGCAATCCCCAGTCAACGCAAAACTCAAGGAAAGGGAGGAGGAAAAATAATGATTTGTCCCCGTTTATTGAGGCTGTTGACAACACACAATACTCATCCAAGACCCTTCGCAACTCTATAAGACTTCGAGAGCAGGTTAACTGAGCACCCATTTTTCATACCCATTTATAAGAAAACCAGACAGTCATTTTAACAACATTCCACACCAATCTATAAAGTGCATTTCTTACGACCCCATCACAGAAAAAAACCCTAAAAAAAGCAATTAAAAACATATAAAATAGCAAGCCAAAGGTGCATTTCCATGAAATTTGGCCAAAAAAAAAGTCGACCAATAATAACAGCGCAAATTCTAAAGCTCCAAATAACCCCAAATTTCATACACGGCAACCCTACCAAAATGCATATAAAGCAAAAATTTGAAATTCCAAAAAAACATGACATTTGAGCCCAAAAACCTAATTTCAAAAATTTCAAGCCTGAAAACCAGATGCCCCGTTAACCTCTTGTGGAGACTTCCTGGGGATTTGTTGCAGGTCACCGTTAAGTCGTCTGCTATCACTCCTCCTTTCCAATGGAAACTGCGGTGAGACGCAGCCCCTCTATTTGGGGATTTTGTCTGATGTTAGACAGTCAACAGAAAAATTCCTTCGAGAAATGAAAGTTGAAAAAACATTCCATAAAAAAAAAAAAAAATCTTCATATTTATAATGATCATTTTAATGTTCGTCCATTTCTAAAATTTTCAGTTTGATTTGATAGGTTCCCGTTTAAATACGAGTTTCCCCTTCCAACTACATCTATTTGTTCAAGATGGAATGCAAGTCTGGACAAGTTTATGAAATGTTGTAATTAAATTTTCATTCTACTACAACAAATATCTTCTTATTTAGATTGAATTAACCTATTTATGATTGAAAAGCCTTACTTAGAGTGATAGTCCAATTAAAATATTTCATGAACTCATACAAACTTTCATTCCATCTCTAGCATGCAGTCCAAATAAGAAGGGATACCCTATTCTTGGAATTAAAGTTTGAGAGTAAGATGAAAAATTTTAAAATTGGAATGACATTTCTTAAGATGGAATAAAAATTTAAAATTTAGATTGTAATTTTACTATAGAACGATTATTTAATTCTGGAAAATTTTATGTTGGTATCAATTCTAATTGAAGAAAGAAAAAATCACTGGCGAAGAGGACAACTCTGGCGTAGGGAGCGGGTTAGAGGGAAACTTTATAATTGGAGACTATTTACAAGGACTATTGTTGTTACCTTAGAATAGGTTCCTCCCTTTTTTATTTCACGATTAATGCAAAACAAAAAATATAAGGTTATAGGGATTTTCAAACCATACAACCCCATATTTTTTTATTTTTGTTTTGTCCATTAATTTTTTTTTTTTTTAATATGTCAAATTCTCGGTCGCGCCCAACCGCCGAGGCCATGGCCTGCGGCCGGGATCCCAACCGCCATCCAAGTTTGACCCGAAGGCCATGACCGCAGGGAATTCAAAGCTGGTGGTTTAAGTTAGTTTCTATAAAGAACAAGGTTGTTTTATTCAAGGAAAGAAATTGAAGCACATAAGCAACATTTTGCACCATTGTGTCCCCAAATGCATTGAGTACGTTCCTAGTGAGAGCATTAAACCACCAGTACACGGCCCCAGCCTTGCTGAAAAGAAAACTCGTCGCCTATGAAAATGTCGGAGGCCCAGCGCCATAGATAAATTGAATCGATGATGGACAAGCTCTGAAAAGAATCCACGACCGATAGCAGGATTTACTGGTGGTTTAACCCTTGGGAGTAGTACCCCTACTATTGTGCTCCAACGCCATCGTACTCCAACACTATCGTCCTCCAACACTATCGTCCTCCAACAATATCGTACTCCAACACTATCGTACTCCAGCACTTCTTCAAGTTCTAAGTCCCTTCCTACCAATTGAATTGATTACTCTCCTAGTCAGAGAATTGACTATTAAGCATCTTCGTTTACCCTACCTTTTTTCCAACAATTATTCCCGCAGCTTGAACCACCAGTATTTCGCTCATATATATGCAACGAAAAAAAATAGGGCCGCAAGGTTGGCTCTTGAATGAATTTGGATAGGAGTCGCCAGGTCGTTCAGCCCATCATGCGAGGTTTTCACTTGAATGAATTTAGACTGGGACCACGACGCTCGTCACAGCTCATACACGGTCGCAACGTCACGACGCCTGTCGCAACTCATATACGACAACGACTTTCAGAAGTATTGGTGGTTTGAGTGTTCCTTCGGGTTCCAGCACGGCTATGTCTTGACCTTTATCATTCCCTTGTATCTCTTAGTCCCTACTCAACAGTGTGATCTCCCTTATTAATTTTTATTTTCACCATTTGTTTCTTAACATCACGATATAGGTCCTCTATATACGTGGCGGTGAGAGAACCACCAGGATTCCAGGTTGTTGTCCTGTATCCAGGTGGTGGTGAGGGGACCACTTGGATTGAGGGTTGCTGTTAGGATGACTCTGATCTATTAGTAGGGAGTTGCACATGGTGAAAAAGAGGTTCAATATCCCAGTAATACACAAAAGAGTTCGCACATGCTGACTTCTAGAGCAAAAAACTATTTCTTACCTAGAAAGATGAGATTGTGTTTGTTGGGCAGGAAACTGCCTCTGCTGTCAGCTTTTCATATGTAATTTTAGTTGGTTATCATCCCCCCATTAGCAACATGAGATCAAAGTTACTCCGACTTACACATCGCAGGTGAACCCCTTGAGGTAATGATACCCTCACCTCCAAACTTTCAAACTCCTTTGGCTCTCTGTTCTTCAACCATCCGTCACATCATTTCTTATTTTTTACTGTTTTTCATTAAGTTTTTTTAGATGCTTGATGTTGTTCATTGGATGTACCATTTACCTAACAAAGTTGTTTGGATATAGGTTATGATATCCTCCCTTGTCTTATAGCCTAACTCGACATCTTCTGATGCATTAAGGGACAATTATATTTCTACAGTAGTATTTTTCTCCCTATCCAATGCTAGTTAACATTGAATTTTTATCCTTATGTAATTCGAGTGTTAGGCCATTAGAATGAACTTCCAATCCCACAGTCACGTTGCTTCTCTTATTATCCATCCTCAGACTGTGTCCCCCGACTCGATAACATCACCGCCCTTGCATACTGCCGCTATTTGGATATCTCGTGAACCGAAATGGGTAGGCCTTACGGGGTTCGGCCAAAAACAATACTGTATTGGATTTTCTTTTTATCAAATTAGGTGAACATGCCTAAGTTAGAAGAACGACGAACCGATTTGGAATTTCGTAGATGCTTTTTTTATCGACAGATTGGAATCATAATTTTTCGTTAATCAAATTAGGCGAATGCGCCTAGGTTAAAGAAATGGCGAACCGATTTGAAATTTCATAAAAGTTTCTTGGACCGGTAGATTCGAATCGGACTTGTAGTCCAAAAGTTTTAAATTTTTGTAGAAGCTCCTTGGAACCGTAGATTATAATCGAACACCTTATGAATCAATATGGACAGGTATTCTAGAAACTTGCACAAACTAATTGTGCCCTCCGTCAAACGAAGGAATGATTTAGAGTGACAAGCGCATAAATTGGTGGGCCCCACAAAAAATTGTGCGTCACTCACGTGTGTGTTGCGCACATCCACCTAGGATTGGCTACCCACGTGCATGCACTCCTGCGTGTGCTGCGTGCATCCATCAATGTGCATTTACTTCCGTTGAGCATCGACCCACGGATCTTGTCCTTCCACGTACCTTGTGCGTTCACGTGTTAGGTCTTTGGTCTTGCACGAGTATCTCCGCTAGAGGTAGGTGAGGCAGGCACAACCGCATTGATGATGTTCAGAGGCGAAAGATTTTCAAGTCTATCTTCATTGAAGGCAAAACGATTGTAGAGACTGCAGTACACTATGGGTTTTTACGCACTATTGTGCATTACATCGTTATCACGTTCGAGGTTGATGGCACATTTTTCATTACCAAATTTGAAGTTAACAGTAAAAACTCTCATAAAAAAATATATGTTATTTAGAATAAGAATACAAACAACTTTTATTTGGATACATCTTCAAATTTTTAGCCAAACACAAGTTAAAAAAAAAAACACTAAAAAATAATATGTTCGTCCGTGTAGGAGAAAACCTACTTAAGTAAACGTATTCACGAATAAGATAATTTGTTTGCTCGTTTGGAGAACCCTCAAATACGTTCATCGTGCTACACATCTTATAAGAATACAAACATGTTTTTTTTAGACAATAAAAAATCGGGATATTTCGGTTCTTGAACATACAGTGATTCAACAATAAGTGATTTTTTGTGGCAAAACCGGCTTTTCTCCTCGCTATATCCCGTGGTTTTGAAAAAAAATTCTATTTTTATTTCACTTCACATGAAATTTTATTCCCGGAGGAGACATGAAAAACAAACTATCATAAACTTGAATAAATTTCGTGTAAACCTAACAATTTGTTTTGTTAGGTTTTCATGAATCCTATGCTAGTAATTCTTTATTCTCAAACTTAAATTGGAAGTGGTCTGTAGGTCAATTTTTATTGGTAGTCATCTTGAGTGTTCATCCTACCCTTCCACGGGGGGAAATGTCTTTGGAAGGGTTGGCTAAAATGCTCAATGATGATGCATGATTTTTTTCTTCCTTGTTGGTTAGACTTTGCCCCTAACGTAAAGTTTTCTCAAAGTTTAAAATACAGAAAATCACAACTCATACAATATTTTGTCTCTCTTTTCAAACTTCAATTATCTACCTTAAAATTTTACTATCTTTCTTGCGACTTATCATTCCCCTCCTTGCAACTCTTTTATCTATCGATTTTTCTTGTTTAATTACATTGGTCAAATATTAATGCACGTGAAATCAGCGTGTGATCACTCCAGTGTTCGACAATAAACATTTTACTGCGCTTTAAGTTTTTTTATCATTATTTTTGTTTCCATTTCGTGTTTTTTGCCCTTAGCTGCACATATACAATATTTTCGTTTACAGAACTATAAATTTCGCCAATGTAATTTGACTTTTGCATCTCACAGGAAACAAGAAAAATACGAACATAAGGTTAAAATTTTTACTTTATTTTCTTATTTGAAACTTTGCGGGATACGTAAGCACATCATTATTAATCTTGCGTTCCCGCATGTCTACCACAAAGCGAATGTATTTGCTGCAAGACAGTCATATAAATTATTTTTAAATCTTTGACACGACATAGTTATTTTTTTCTCCAACAAATTTGGTTTTTTCCCCCCCTATTATTTTAAGGTTTTTACATGGTATAGTTTATTTTTGTCCTCGCAAATTGTTTTCACCGATACCTATACAATTAATAAATTTAACTATTGTTTTTTCTCTTTCTTACTTTCGATCAAACTCGTCTGAAAACCGATAAGATAAAATTTTAATTTTGATCTAAAACTTCACTCTCATCTCTCATCGTTTTGAACCACAAACCCTTATTCACATTTTCTCAACCCTAAACCTACTTCGATGGAAAAACGATGTAGGTCATGAGTTTTGTATCATTCAAATCGACATGTATTAGTTCCCTACAAACTCATCAAGCAGGCGAATGAAGACAACAAACCTTTAAACATTCTCGACCCAAAAGATGGCTCGTCTAATCTTGAAGTTCACTGATCACGAGAAGTCGATTTACTCCTTTAAGTTAATGATGAAACATGTGCGATATCGTGGATTTCGTCTTTGAGCACCAACCATAATTATATGAAATATGAAATTCCTTGAAAGTAATCCGCTTTCCAAACTCCCTTTGGGGAAAAAAAAAACTGAATAATAAACTTTTTCGACTCTCTTTGGAAAACAAGGACCTTAAGGAGATCAATGACAGGGTGTTGTATTAAGAAGGAGGTGGCGACAGGTTGGACATTGTGGTAATCCTTTTGCTGAAAGATTGGTTTTTCTTCTGCCCTTTGCTCATTATTGTCTCCTCACTAAATTCCTTTTTATCACGCATTTCCTTAAAGCATGACCAATAATTTTTTTGCAAATAAGTATCCACCTCATCAATATTGAAATTTTCTCCTTAGTAAACATTTTCAAAAATTACAGTTATTTTACGGTTGTTTCCGTGAAGTTCTCACCCAATCCAAGAAAGACGGAGTTATCAGTTATGACTTTTTCACGAACAGGTTGAAAAATATGTGTTTTCAGTTTAAAGCTAAGCTAAGAAAAAAAAAAAACTTAAGCTATGCACACATCATAACCGATTAGAGCAATTGCAGTATCAATAAATTGACACAATGCAGTCAAGTTTCGGATGTTAAAAAAAAATCAATCGACAAACGGTGCTATTAAAGTTGCACAAGGTCCAAAGATACTACATAAAATCGTTACTTGCTTGGACAATGATTGTTATGTTGTTAAACCCATTGTAATATATATGGTGCATACACATGCTTCAAATAACATAATAATCATCAAACTATTGGTCCAGCGGACCCTAAATTGACAAGGAAAAAAATATTACGATATTCACGTACAAAAAATTATAGTATGTGTTTAATGGATCATTCATTTAATTAACCGATGTTGGATCATTCGATCACGGTAAGTTTTTGAAAATCAAAGAAATCACACGATTTTCAACCAGACACAATAACATGAATCAGAACGAGATTAACTTTAGGAGTTTGTGAATGCAGATCTATGCTCATCAACTTACATCTAACCCTCGACTTCAATCGTTCATTTTGCGTTCTCTATTTTCAAGATTAGTTGTAGTTGTTACATTAGTCTTCATCCCCCCAGCTTATTAACCGCAATTGTGTTTTCATCTTGCACACTCAAGTTATTTCATACAAGACTACCCTGAACCTCGACGAACGACGTTAAGTTCACCCATTATTACCTTTGTCGCACTAACAAATAACCTTAGATGAGTAGGAACACCACTTAAACACGATATGCAATTTGTTGTGGCAATAATAATCACTTCGACTTCATCTCATCTCCAGTCGAATATGTCAACTACAATAATTGCAACAAATTGGTTATATATCCTCGTACGGTTTATTACAACTATTTAGTCATTCATAACAGATGAGGACGAGGTTACTGAACAGTTGTCACTTTATTACGATTGGAACCACAACTTAATTGTGTGTCCGATGAACGGAGAACACAAAAAATTGAACGTCGTTATACGCGTTTAACGGGTCCGGGGACCCCCGTTGCATCCCGTTTAACGCAAAAACGGGGGTGTTCCGTTCAATTTTCAAAAACGGAACCGGCCCGTTGGGACTCGGACGCGTGGCCCCACGCGCCCGAACACTCAAACCGAAAAAAAAAAAAAAAAAAAAATACAACCCGTCCACCCTCCTTTGGACCCCTTACCAAACGGCATTTGATGACACCCCTGCAAGTGGCACGACCCCCCGACCTGCCACCTGGTCCCAATACGACACCCATGCACCCCCCACCCCGAACCCAAACACCCAACACCCCCCCATTTGCCAGCCCCCCAAAACACCCCCCACACCTCCCACCAAACACACCCCACCACCCATCCCAAACCCAACCACCCAACACCCCCCCCACCCCCCCCCCCCCCCCAACCCCCCCCCCCCCCCCCCCCCCCCCCCCCCCCCCCCCCCCCCCCCCCCCCCCCCCCCCCCCCCCCCCC